CCCTCCTTGATGGTGAGAACAAGGACCAGCGTAGTACCTCCCCTCGTTGGCTCCTCATATTTCATTACATTTTTCAATTTAAGATTTAAAACACCTAAACAAAACAGCTTTCTGAACATGAATTAGCGAGGTATGGTTAGAAGCATGCAAGTACACTACGGACTTCTAAAAATGTGGTTTAGGTTACATTTTCAGTAACTGAATCATCTACAGCAAAATGAAGAAGTGTAATGTTCTTTAGTCTCTTATCAAAGAAGGTAATCTCACAAGCTTTTCATGCTCTTTATCTTCTTTAACTGCCTTCCCACTGACATATTATAGGAGATAACCTATATTGGCATATAACCAAAAGACTGGGGCTTAAATTATAAAAAAAAAATTAGACGTCTATTATTCATGTTTATTCTAAAGAACAGCATAGAAGAATTTTAATAAAAAATACTTCGAAATATATCATCACAACATACATTTCAAAAATCAAAACATCTTTATATATTGCTGTTATAAAATGTAATATTACCACGAGTAATTAAAAAAATATATTATATTTTTTCCATATTCTGCTTTATATATTTCTCTGAGTCAAGTAACTTACAAAGGTATATAAATTTCCCACCAGTTACGGTGTTCTCCGCAAGAGCAGAGGATAGAACAAAACACCTCTCAAACTGAAAAAGAAGAAAAACCCAACAAACAACCCCTCCAATCCACCTTGCTAAAGCATTATGCGTACCAGCACATTAAACAAAAACTTTGGGTTTTTTTATTCAAAGAGATATCAAGTTGACAGCCTCCCTCTAATATGTCAAGGGACTACTGTATTATCTTTACTGGGGGGAAAAAACATAAGCCATAGCACCACTACCAACAATAATTCACATTGTATTTTGAACAGTATTTATCAAGCATAATCATTCCTTCTATATTGGCATGTAACATCAGCATTAATAACCTAACATGTAATAAAATGAGAAATCATTTTTTACATACCAAGCCTGGCTTACCGAGCACTGGAAGCATTACTGTGATAAGTGGTGTAATTTTTACCAAAATAGTTTAACGTAACACCTTGTACAGAATGAACTGTAGCTGTATGAAGATTATATCCTCACTAGGTAAGAAAAAGCTATCACTGTTCATGCACTATTTTTTTTACAACTAGAATTCTGCCCACACATACAGGAATTGTACTATAGTTAGTTATGCACAAGTTAACTGTATGACCTCACTTTCTAGGAGACATACACATGGACCAGGGTAACTGCAGAAATACAGAACAAAGGCTGTTCCTCCACAAAATACAGGTAAAACAGAATAGCACTGACAATAAAACTATTTTGTTTAAAAACAGCTTTTCCCCCCCTCCCCTTTCCAATATGTATTTGTGCATGAAGGTAGCACACGCAGAGATGATTTTTTTTTTTCACCAAGTACTCTTATTCCCCCTCAACCTTCCTTCTGCTGAAGCAATTAAAGCCAAACTTTTCTAGGTATTTTCTCAAACAGGGAACAATACAACCTTTATAGCCCAGTTTCATGCCAGTCCAATTCCATTGAACGCAGGTGCTGAACTTGCAGATTATTTAAACACAATGGCATACAAGGTCCCACAGTGTTGCAGAACTACCATAAAACTGCCATCTCTCTCTTCATGAGAGCATCACTTTAGTAACTGATATGCATCTGATAGTCAACAAGTTTACCTCCCTACTTTTTTCCAACTATTTCAATTTAAGATTAAAATTATAATACTAGTCATATGGCATAACAATCCATTTTTTATTTTTCACTTTACTCTTATTTCTAATATTTATTCCTTAAAGATCACCCACATCTTTCTGTATAATATCATGATCCTTCTCCATATCAACAACCAACTTTGTGTCATGAGCAAATTCATAAACTCACATAAGTAAAAACTTCTTTACTGAAAGAGTGGTTAAACATTGGAAGAGGCTGCCCAGGGAAGTGGTTGAGTCCCCATCCCTGGGGGTATTTAAAAGACGTGTAGATGAGGCGCTTAGGGACATGGTTTAGTGGACATGGTGGTGTTGGGTCAATGGCTGGACTTGATCTTAGAGGTCTTTTCCAACCTTAATGATTCTATAACAATAATAGTATATGAAGAGTTCTTTCCTAGGGAATCCATAAGCAACACCACTACCAATTCATCCCGATTCTTGGCTCTGACCAAACCCTTTGGTTTCATAAAAGAAATTAAACACCTCAAATTGGACTCTAAAAACACATGCCAACATCCACTTGAGATACCCTAATTTAATACAAGCTAACCCGATGTGTACCTTTCTGGTCACATCCGCTAACGGCAACCAAATTTGAGGACGAGCTTCACCAACTGCTTTCCAAAAGCAGCTATGAGATAAGCGATCCCAACAGAACAAACAGGACGGCAAGAGCATCTCCTCCAGCTTCTTCTTCCAAGCCACATTCCTCATCATCAGTCAGGGCAGAGAAAACCTAGGCAATTGCTGTCTCCTTGCAGCAAAACTCCTGATAACCCCACGGCCCCACAAGCCGGCCAGCAGTACAAGCCCTAGTGCCATCGCCCCTTCCCTTGGTCGGAAGCTTGGAGCCAGCCTCTCAGGAGCAGGCTGCCTGTCCTCCCCCAGCAGGGGCGAGGGAGGACAGCCGAGCC